ACACAGACCATTTTGCAGCATAGAGCTTTATGGTAGATTCCGCTCTGGCGTGTTTGATCGTGTTCAGAACCCCTTCTGGCAATTCGACGCGTAGTTGTTGGTCACCCATGCATGAAGCGCCCAGCGCTGTGGATGGGGATGCCAGACCGAGCCGCGGGCTTGAGTGAGGAGATCTGCTCTGATTGGAATGGGCCACGGGGCTGTCCGTGACAGCTCCGTAAGCCCTGGGAACCAAATCTGATTCTCCCAGCGCGGGGCTATGAGGAGCACCGAGTGGCCTGAGTCCCTGATTCTCTGAATGACCTGCGGTAGCAAAGAAAACGGGGGAAAAGCATATAGCGGGCGGCGGGGCCAATCCTGGGCTAACGCGTCCTCGCTCTTTGAAAAGAATATCGGGCAGTGAGCGTTCTCTTCTGACGCGAAAAGATCTATCTCCGCTCTGCCGAATAGGCGCCACAATGTTTGGACTGTTTGAGTGTGTAGGGACCATTCTCCGGGGGAGACAAGGTTCCTGGACAGCATGTCTGGACTGTCGTTCAGATGGCCCGGTACGTGCGTCGCTCTGAGCGAGAGCACTCTGGGACCACAAAAGGATGCGGCGCGTCAGATGAAAGAGATTCTTGGATCTGACCCCGCCCTGACGGTTGATGTAAGATACCACGGCCGTATTGTCTGAGCGAATCAGGACGTGGTGACCGTGTATGCACGGGAGGAAAAACAGCAGCGCGTTCTCGACCGCGATCATTTCCAGACACTTTATGTGTAGGGAACTCTCCTGGCTCGACCACTGGCCGGCGGCCGGTGAGCCCTCGCAGACCGCACCCCAACTCGAGTTGGATGCGTCTGTCGAGATGACTTTTCGGCGAGAAAAGGTTCCCATGATAACGCCCCTCTGAAACCACTCGATTACTGACCATGGTTGCAGTGCAGTGATACATGTCTGAGTAATCTTGATAATCTGGCGGCCCGTAGTCCACTCGCGGTGGGATACGCGGCTCTTTAACCAGAGTTGAAGGGGGCGCATGTGCAGAAGACCCAGCTGTAGCACAGCGGAGACTGAGGCCATATAACCCAGCATCCTCTGAAAAGATTTCAGGGATGTGTGGGTACCCATCCGAAAAGAGGCGGCTAGACGCTGAACATGGCGCGCGCGCTGTGTGGATAAGCGAGCCCTCATTGTGATAGAGTTCAAATCTATTCCAAGGAATGAAATAGTTTGACTGGGCTGGAGAGAGCTCTTTGTCCAGTTGACAGAGAGTCCCAGTGCTTTCAGATGGTTGAGGAGAACTGCGCGGTGCGACAGAAGCTCCGTCTGGGAATGTGCTAGAATCAGCCAGTCGTCCAGATAGTTTAGAATGCGCAGCCCCTGACTCCGCAGGGGAGCGAGCGCTGTATCCATGCACTTTGTGAACGTACGGGGTGCTAAGGATAGGCCGAACGGGAGAACGGCATATTGGTAAACCTGACCCTGGAAAGCGAAACGTAGGAATGGCCTGTGATGAGGGTTTATCTGGATCTGAAAATAGGCGTCTTTCAGGTCTAGAGAGATGAACCAGTCCCCCTAGCGGACGTGCGCGAGGAGTTTCTTGACTGTGAGCATTTTGAACGGTCTCTTCATGAGCGCTTTGTTCAAAGCCCTGAGATCTAAGATCGGCCTGAGGCCGCCGTCTTTCTTGGGAACAAGAAAGTAACGGCCGTAGAACCCCGACTCGGTCATAGATGGTGGGACTCTCTCTATTGCGCCCTTCTGCAGCAGCTTGGCTATTTCTGAGAGGAGCATGTTCATCGCAGCTGGGCTGACAGCGGATTCGAGCCGAACGCGCGAGCGGCGACGAAACTGTAATCGATAGCCATTCTTTATGATGCTTAAGACCCACGGGGAGATGCCGGGGATGGCTTCCCACGCTTCGCAGCATGCGGCTAGCGGTTGAATGGCGATTTCGCCCTGGTTGCTGAACATAGCGGGCTGGACACTGAGTGTGGGCACGCTTAAATTGTGAGTGGCAACGGGACTTACTCAGAGAGGAGTTTATGGGCCGTGTGACAGAGCGAGCAGAGGGGGGACAGGCGCATGGGCTCGTGGGCGTGTTTATGTTCTCTGCTACTAGAGCGGTTAGTGACTGCTCCGTGAGAATGGGCTCTGTGGGAGACCCGGGGCATATGGTGCTTGTGTGTATAAGTGAACACATGCTTGTGGGCACATTTTTTACACTTGAGGCTTTTATGCTCTTTTTGTGAACTCTCTGGGTAGCCGTGAAAACGGCTTTTTGTCGCTCGCAAGCGGGCAGGGAGACCGGCTTGTTTGTGGCGGTGAACTCTACTGTAGTCGGCGAGGAGACGGGGACTAACAGAGGACGAAGCTTTGACGGCGGTCCGGCCGCAGCGGGAGAGAGCCGTCTTTTTCTCAGCTGTGCTAGGCAGACATTTGCTGATCAGGCTTCAGCGTGATCTTGGGTCGAGGCCCCCGGGGGGGAGGCTGTCTGCGGCGGCTGTCAGAGCGAGAGCGAGGGCGGCCGCCCTGTCTACGCTGGGGCTGCTGAGCTTGCTGAGGTGGGCGCTGCTGTGGGGTTCTGGCAGGGGGCTCGTGAGAGCGGCCTGCCGAAGAGCTAGCGCGGCGGGGTAGGAACAAGTTCATGGCCTGGGTCGCTTTCTGTACCTCGGAGAAGCGGTCAACGATGCCCGTGACGGCAGATCCGAAGAGGCCGGTCGGAGAGATAGGCGCGTTGAGGAACACGGCGCGTTCTGAATCTCCCATGTCGGTAAGCGTGAGCCACAAGTGTCTCTCAGCAACACAGAGGGCGGCCATGCATCTCCCCAGGGCTTGTGCGGAGGCTTTTGTGGCGCGAAGGGAAAGGTCCGTAGCACTTCTCAGATCCGAGAGGATGGGCGGGTTCCTACCGCTGTTCGCCATTTCGCACAAGATGTCGCTCTGAAGCACTTGGAGGACTGACATTGAATGCAGCGCTGAAGCGGCCTGTCCGGCGGCAGCATAGGCGCAAGCATGAAAGGTAGAGGTCGCTCTGCACGCCTTTGAAGGAAGCGTAGGGGAAGCACGCCATCTAGCAGAGGGCGGGCAAAGATGAGCGGCGACCAGGTCCTCGACGGGCGGCATGGCAGTATAACCCTTCTCGGCGGCTCCGTCCACTGAGCGCAGCGAGGCGGACACGTCGGAGCGGTTTCGAGCCGAAAGAGGGGCATTCCAGGACTTAGTGAGCTCGTTATGCAGCTCAGGCAGGCGGGGGCCGGGCGCCGGTGCAGGAATTTACCATCCATACGGTTCGGTGGTTGCTCGGGGAGAGGAGACCACTCGAGATCCAGGCGGTCGACGGCCTGTGAGAGGAGACGCAATAGTTCCTCTTCGATGCCGGCGCGGGTCCCCGCAGACTCTCTCGTCGAAGAGCCAATCGACGACCAGTCCTTGCTGTCAGAAGCGTGCAGCGAACAGGAGTCCTTCTCATCCGCGGTGTCGTCCGAGGCGACAGAGCGGCCACTCGGCGGCAACTGTATGTCCGGCTGGGGCGGAGAGGGAGAGCGGTCGGTGGGCGGCGGCGGCGGCCCGCATGAATCCGCAGGGGGCTCCGGCAGCCTCTGGGAGCGGCGTTTTTTCTTCCGCGGCGAAGTGAGAGGCGGCGCGGGAGCGGTTTTGACCGCCTGCAGTCGTGCAAGCAGGGAGGACAAAGGCAGGTCCTCGCAGTGGTCGCATCCTCCGTTGGAATAAGCGAAAAGGATACGGCGTCGGATGGCGCTAGCTTGCTGGGCGGCTGAAGGTGGCAGACGGCCGGCTTCCTCAGTCTCCGGAGCTCGCTAGAAGATGCCTTCTCGACGACGGCGGCTTCTTCCCAGGACAGCGGATGCGTGTAGCTCACTGAATGATGAAGAATCGACGAACGAGTCTGGGAGAGCTACTTTTATACACTGTAGCCAGGCCCCTTTCGGCGGGCTCTGACGCAATGAGCGAGCGCTGTCCGCTCATTGGCCGCGGGCTCAGCGCCGCTCTCCCATAGGTTCGTGCATTCTCTCTGAGCGAACCAATGAGCTGCTAGCTAGCCCGCTCATAGTCTGCCTCACACATACTGCGTTGACAATGATTACAAAATTATGGAATAATTTTTTGGCTTCAACTTCTCAGCAAAGATGAATCTTTCCCGTAGCGTAAGCTAGCTTACGCAATACGAGAGAACCTCTCGTAAGAGAACTAGATTAAAGACGCATCTCTTTAGTCAAGCATTCACATAATGCTTACCTTTTAGTCCTCTGTTATGCCATACGGAACCGTTTGCCACGGACACTGCTTAACGCACCAGTGGGGCTCGACAGCCTTTTAGACAAACGGGTCGGCGCGTATGGTTGGGTTGCGGAGAGTTTGGGTTGTGGAGAGTTTGTGAGATAGGGGTTTTCTAACACCGACTCCCGTATAATGGAAATCATTATGAACATCAGCTATGCTAATTATTTCCCATCTGCCTTTCTGCTGTTATCTCGGGACGCTTGTCCCGAGAAAAATGGCGTTCGTCAGGTCCAGTTTTGTATCCAGCCTCTCACGGGGATTTCGGATGCCCCAACGCCTGTGATGAGAAGACCAACGCCTATGAAGAGACTACTCAACGTCTGCGATATGTTATGGTGCCGTTTTATACAATATTTATATTTAATATTTATATATAAACAATATGAATGTAAGCCAGAGGAGAACTGGCTCCCGACTGAGCCTGGGTTCTCCCAAGGTTTTCTCTCCATCCAATCTGATGGAGTTTTGGTTCCTTGCCACTGTCGCCTTGCTTTTGGCTTGCTCAGTTGGGGTTATTTAATATTTAACAATATTATTGATCTGTGTTGTACTACTTTCATGTTATCACTGTGAAGCTGCTTTGATACAATCTGTATTGTGAAAAGCGCTATATAAATAAATGTGACTTGACTTGACATAATACCATGCATGTACTGCCCCCACTGCAAAAACAGAAATCTGTAGGAAAAACTGGTTTAGTTTAGTGTCTTACATGTCTTGTTGACATCCTGCTCTTGATTCCTGGTGTCTGTGTGATGTCATCCTGAGGCTGGGCAGTCCAGGAAGACAAACGGCTGCATGACTTGGATTCTGATGAAGAGACAAAACGTCATGACATGTTTTGCCACATTTATATACATTACTCTAGAAAAGTATACGGCAGACATTTCATATTTCAACAAAAGTCTTTACCACTCCGACTCTGCTTCAGTTTTCCCATGGTAGCCGCGAGAGATGACTTCTGGCACTCAAAAGGAATTACTGAAAGCATCTTCCCATGAGGGACGTACAGCTTCCCAGAATAACACCACAACTGTATTCAGGAGAAAGTGAATCCATAATTAAACATATGTATTATCTTTGTGAAAAAAAATAAAAATAAAATAATAATAATAATAATAATAATACCATACCTGACTACAGATCCTTCCTGACATTTCTTTACTAGCCTGAAGAGTTTGGAAATGAGTGTTCCAGATGCAAAGGTAATCTACGAATGACAAAATTCCAATGATTATTGCACCAATCAGATATCAAGTGATCAAAGAGGGAAGAATAAAAAAAAATTCAGCACTAAATGTCATTGATAAGAATGTGAAGAGTATGGGTGTTGACAATTTGATTGTCATTTTATTGATAACGGTAAGTAGAAATTTGTAAAAATATATTTTGGTTTGTAAAATTCTTGTTGAAGTTGCTTAATTAAATGGGAAAAAATAGAAGTAAAACCGATACAAAAACACAAAAATCATAAACTGCTTTTTTGGGTGGAAAATGCAAGGAGTATAGATCTAGGCGATAAAACGATAATTATTGAAATTAATTTTCCTCTATTAACAAGTTTAATAAATGTTCAATATAATGTTTGCACGCCAAACGTGGAATGAAATTGCGCTACTTGTTTGATCTCCACCACTCAAACAATTTATCATCTCGGTACAAACGGCAGCACAGCGCGAGCTTACGAGAGCAAATGAATTCAAAACACTGAGCGTTGATCACGCAACCACTAAACAAGTATTTTGAGATCCAGTTGAGAAGCATCTTTTTTAGAGATGCACCGATTGATCGGCTGGTGACCGGAATTTGCCGATTTTCATGTGATCTGCCATGATCGGCGACCGGCCGGTCAGTCTGACATGCCGATTTTATGCCGGTCAAATGCAGTCGGGCGGTGCATGATTAACATTGCGCAACATCAGCATTACAAATGCACACGGAACGCACATGTAGGAAACCTTGTGAAATATGACCGTTTCACACTGCAAGCGGCGCGCATTTTTTCCAGCGTGCATGTTAAACAAGTGCATTCACATCAGGAGCGTCGCATGAGCAGCAGTGAAGTGGTTTCGCCACCGAGTCTATTTTTGCTGCGCCGCTCACGCTCCATTAAAGTGAAAGCACACTTTTGATGGACAAAATAAATTTAACACAAAAAGTGCCCAAAATGCACAAAATTTGCATGTCTAGTGTGTTTTAACAAGAACTGGAGTAGGCTGTGTCAGAAATTAAAATGACTCTTTATAGAAAATATTTATAAAAAGTTCACCCAATTAAACTTGTTTTTATTATTCAGTTTGGATAAAAGTATATGGTGATTATCGGCTCAAATTGGCATCGGCAGGTCAAACTCAATGAAAATCGGAATCGGCCTAGAAAATTGTAATCGGTGCATTGCTAAACTTGTGGACACAAAAATATCCCCAAACACAGTCAGTTATGTCTTATGTGAACGTAAACAGTTAACAAAGAAAACGCATAATTATATATTAGATCTGTGCTTAAAGTTACAGCAGCCTAACATATAAGAGACTCAAATAACTGTCGATTTTTGTGATACAGGCAAGTGTTATACATCATTTAAAACTGTTAAATGTCTTTTATTTGTGTACACTAATTAAGTCTCCATTTTTAAATGATGTAAATCAAACCAAAAACAAATATTCTCTGTCTAAGTAATTCGTATGAAAGCAACGACATGTACATTTTCTCCAGGCCGAGCTGATTAGCGCTAATGCGACCACGCCCACGCGAGCTATTCAAATGATCCACGTAAAGGAAGCAGAGCTGTTACCGCCCTAATCACCTCTAAACAAACTCTTTTCACTCTGCTTTTTGTCGAGTTTGGAAGATTAAGGTAAGACACATAATACACATCTTATGGTTGTATACAGCCTTCTTTACATTGTAGCTACTAGTTAAACTGGTGCCAGACTAAAATGTTATGAAATGAGACTGGAGTGAATGTACACACAAGAATGTTTTTATCTTCGATAATTAAACACAGCATGATAAAAGAAGGATTAGTTACTCTTCAATGGTGAATATTATAATGTTAAGACATGTATGTTTGCTGATATCTGCTGAAACGTAGATATGTATAATGTAACAATAGTGTTTAATAGTTTGGAGCGGATTCGGATCGGTTCAGTAAATGTCCTCTGCACGCGGTGAGTGAGTCACTCGCGCTGTGGGTTTGAAAAGCAAAACATGCCAAACATTATAGGCACAGGTTTTCTCCAATCTCATTTCATAACGAATGGAAACTTTTGAATATATATTTTTCATATTTTTTTGTCTAGTGTAGTGTTACTGAAGTGTTTCTTTTTAACAATATATAGGCTGCCTGCTATTTATCTGTTATTTTATGCAGCCCTATATATATATGCTATAACAATGCACAACAAACTTGGTGTTCATTTATATTTAATAATTGTAACCAGAAAAATAAATGTATTCCCAAAATATTGCAGCCCTATAGTTTCTCTTGATATCTTTCTCAGGTGTGAAAAGAAGTAATATTAAAGGGCACCTATTATGGAAAATTCACTTTTACATGGTGTTTGAACATAAATGTGTGTTGGCAGTGTGTTAGCAAAACCACCCTAGAATGATACAAATCCACCCAGTGGTTTTTTTTACAATCTTAATAAATCATATGCCCTGTCTCAGAACGAGCTGTTCTAAGATACAGCGCTTTGTGACGTAGAATTGAGCAAGGGGTTTGATTGACAGTGTGGTTGTGGCATAGACCCCGCCCTCGGTGATCTGCACACCATCCTCCATTGTTTCAACGACAGCCGGTAATGTCTTTTGGAAAAATAAATGTTCTGTCGTGGGTTAATCCTGTTGTTATAGCTTAAAATTAATCCTCAAGTGTGGATTGTTGTCTACTGTTCCACTGTCACCTCCAGTAACAGTAAGTGTATTTTATGATTTTTGAGCAAATAGTCTTTTCAGTCGATGTCAGCCAATTCAACAACAAATACATCTAAAGTTGTTGTCGTCGTCGTCATCGTAGAATGTCTGTGTATATAATTTAAACCTTGTTTGTATAGTGTGTAACAACACGTTTATAAATATATATATATTTTTAAAGATATTGTATTAAAAACTGCATATGTTGTTCTGTAAGTTAGCCATCTTCTCACATTTGCCACAGAAGCACCTGTATGACAAGTAAACATGGCGCAACAGGTCCCTCGCATAAATGTAATTTCGCTTGTACGTCAAACTTTCACAAAATGTGTATGTAGTTTCACAAAATTGCGCCAGCGTTAGTGTTTGTGTGTCTGTGTGTGTGCGTTGCACATGCCCATCATTTCAAAGGGGACGCGATTACAACTCTATAAGTACATAAATGTATCAAATAACCATACCGTTACGTACTGGTCCATTCGCATCTGTGTTTATTCTGCCGGAGTCTCTTCGTACTATTTATATATTCCGATTCAAAAGTACGCTGAATGACATTCAAAACAGCGGTTTCTCTCACTCACTCAGTACTAGGGCTGAACGATTAATTGCATTTGCGATAAAATCGCGATATGATGAAATGCGATTTTGTATTCGCAAGAGCTGCGATTACACTGGTCACGTGACACGCGAGAGAAAAGCAGTCTGCAAGATCAAGCATCAACTTGCCACTAGGGGTGGTTAATCTGTCTGATTTCCCGATTCGATTCGATTCCGATTATTGAAGTCCCGATTCGATTACAGTCGATTTTCGATTATTAACGATTCTCGATTACCGATTATTGATTTTCCATTTCACAACAGTAAACGAAAATACACTAGATCAACATATGATTATATTAGCAGCAGCAACATTTTGGTATTAATTGCACTTTTTATTTGTTTGATATTCATTGAAAATATAATGATGGTTAGTGAGGACATGCAAACATGCTTGTTGTCTACTACTTAGGCAACTCATTATCTTTACATTTATTAACTTTAAAAAATTTTTCAAAAGCAATTTTGTTGCATTATAATGCAAATGCACCTGGTTCTATTAATTGACAGCATTAAAATGTATTTTGTGATTTCCTTCAATTGAAAATATTTGAAGCAAGTTTGGGGGACTTGAAGGGCACCCGATTAAGAGAATCACCTAGAAATTCAAAAGAACAGCATTTATCTGAAATAGAAAGCTTTTGTAACATTAAACAATACCGTTCAAATGTTTGAAGTCGGTAAGAATTTTTATTTAATTTTTTGGGCAATAGAAAAAAGAAATCTATACTTTTATTCATCAAGGATAAATTAAGTTGATCAAAAGCTAAAGTACAAGACATTTATAATGTTACAAATCGATTATCTGAAGCTTTTGTGTGTGACTATAAATAATTTGCTTTAAAAGTACAAATTAATGACCCATAAAGAATTAATGCACAATATATTTTATTAACATTACAAAGAACAACCAGGAAAATAAATGTGTGCTTGAACTAGGAGCATACTTGTAGTAAATAAATAATATAACGACTGGTGCAGCCGAGTGTTTTTCCTCCTCTGGCTGGAAAGGTGTCATATGGCTTATCATATTTGTCGTGTTTCCGTCGTTGGTTTTATTCCACAAAGCGTACAACTAGTGCGGCTCTTGTCCAGCTCCTTTCCCCCTTCAACTTCAGAAGCCAAAATATTTCCACACGTCAGCTTTTAACCTAACAAGGAAAGTGTTTGGATCTCGCGTGCCATCTCATCTCTATTATGTGCACGCCACAGACGGTCCCGCCACTGCACTTCCGCGCTTTAGAGTTCCGTCTTTCGCGTTCCGTCAATATTACGTTATTATAAATACATATAAAACATTTTTTTTTTAATCGATTTTTTGACATTTGTGAATCGATTCAGGATCGTCCACGTCCGCATCGCGATGCATCGTTAATCGATTTTTTTCCCCACCCCTACTTGCCACGCTACGCGGTCTGGCGTTCAGAAAAGAACAGTTTATTTTTAATGTATGTGTTATTTATTTTCTCCCCAACAATCCTGGATCGATTCAGAGAATTTCAGAATCGAGTCTGAGCTTAGTTTTTAAACACAGATGCGTGATGACGCTGCGCGTGCTTTAGAAACGAACCGTGTTCTGCTTGCTTCTATGTTCTCTCTCTCTCTCTCGCTCTCTCTCTCTCTCTCTTCCTCACTCACACACACGACACCGCTAGAACCTTCCGAAACATAGTAACGTTATGTCATAAAGTTCGG